TCAAAAACAGTAAGAAAATCAGTGGTGAAGATTGAAATATTGATAGTTAGTTTTGAATTTTCTTACAGGCTATTTTGTTTCTGAAGAGAGCTTGTAAAAATTTTCTTTTTTCCATTTAAATTACATAAAAACTGAGCTTCTTCCGCTAGTAATTCATATTTACAAAAGTAAATGGAAAATTGCAATTACTTATAAAGACAAAATCTAGCTGTGCAAACTCTTCTCTTATTCATTCATAAATCCAGAAAAGCTTTCTTGTAGTAATGAATGTCCGATAGATCAAGACAAGAAGATTGAGATGTATCTTGAAGCGTCATAGCGAACTAAACGTCAAAGTAAATAAAGATTCACACACATTTTGGTCATAATGAGGAAACGTTTGAGCATAGTTTGATCAGAATATTTATGATTTTCAATTAAAATTCAAATAAAAGCAGAAAATGGCATTAGATCTCTGAGAATGGCTTGTTGCTAACACAAAAGATATTGTGAACAGCATAAGTAAAACAAAACACGATCAAAATTTTTTGAAATGAAATCTGCAAAAAATTATTAGTGAAATTTGTCTGTAAGAAGTGATTTTATGATTGTGATTAGAAGCAGAATTACAGCATATTTTCAATACTTTGAATTTCTAAATTGTTAGTTTTTGATCAAATTTGCTGCAATTCAATAACACATTAGCATAAACCTAAGAGTTTTTTCTATGATCACAAAGTGTACTAATCATTAGACATTAAATTTACATTCATATGCATCACTACTGCAAAGCAAGATTCCTTCAGTCTTAAGAATGCTTTTTAATTAGCAACAGTAAACGATTTATCAAGAATTACCACAAAAATTGAACTGAGATTACAATACTTTTAAATTATGCCTAGTATATATGCAAATTAAAACTGAAATTCAAGTTTGTACTCCAGGAAAAAAAATCAACTTAATTAAACGAACCTTCGACCAGAAACCACCTTGAGTAATACAGGAGAGGAGAATGAAGTTTCCAAAGTGAGAGTAACTGTTTGAAATATAATTTTTTTGTTTGTAATAGGAACTTAAAAAGTGGGTTCGAAGTTCAAAACAGTACACACTAAAAGATGTGCACTTCAATGAACTTGGTCGCTGCTCTAAGTGATAATAATACTGAATGCAAAAGGGAAGAAGTTAATAAATGTGTTTACATATGTGCAAGTAAATAAATCTAGTCTCTATCGTACAATTTACATAATTTCGGTCCAAGTTTAAAGTAAACAAAGCTTGTATTCGCTACTCAGTAAAGCAAAAGTAATTATAAGGCTTTTATTCGTATTACGTAAAATCTATGCTGCCAAAGTGTAAATCCGGCGTAATTCAACTAAAAGCCTAATGAAAATTGTAGCATTATAGTTCAAATTTTATCGCTTATTCTTTCCTGACGATCTATTTCTGTCATTAATTCTGACTTTTGATTTTCAAGCGATAATTGCATCGTCATGAAGTTGAATATTTCCTTAAAAAACTCTGTCTTTGATCACTTCAGTAATTGGGCGAAATGATAAATATTGTTCCTCCTTCTTCGGCAAATTTGAACATGATCAATCAACAACTTCATAAATATGCATCGATCATGTTTTCTACTCAGCACATTATTGTAAGGTTCTACAAACGTTGATTTAGGAAAAATTTGGAGCAGTCAAAAGTATTTGAGACTGCTAAATTTCCATGCATGAGAAAAGATTGTAGGCAGGGAGAAATAATGAATGCTGAAAGCTCTTCTGGTATTTTACTTCAGTGAAACTGCTGCCAGTTTTTTGCATATAATTATGACAAATAATAAGCATATCTGAAATGTGACTTTCTCCGAGTAAACAAAGCTAAACGAAAAATCAAAAAATGAATCCTGATCTTTTCGGAAATTGAAATCTATTCGAATCTGAACTACCATATCATTTTGTGGCTTCAGATTATTCTTGCAAGCTAGTAGCCAGATAGGCATGACCTCACATGAAAATGACCACATTTCATTACTTTCTACATCGGAACTTCAAAAAAGTTTGTTTTTACATTAACAATTTGAGTGGAATTAGCTGATCAAGTCTTGATCAATGAATTAGTTTATGCAAGAGCAGAAGTTTGAAATCTCTCAGCTATTTTGATTCTTGATGAACGATGTATTTAACGTGTTTTAGATGCAATTTTCTTCAGGCAGCTTGCGAAAGTTTTTCAACATTTGACTACTTACAGTAATGACTTCATTTCTTTCAAAATCTACTTGAACTTCGAACTGAATTCATTCAAAGAGATCAATTCAATACTTCAAAATGTCAAAATTGTACTTAACTTATGAATACAAATTATAAATAGGACTGACTGCATCTATCAAAACTAAACGAACTTTTGACCAAAATGTCAAAATTGTAAAATCAAAATTGTTTTTAGACAAAAAATTCATCATTATCAAAATATAATTTCATCAGAAGCAATGGTCAATCTTAAAACCAAAAAGTAAACATCAAATATGTGTTTATCTACAAAATGAAAATATGAAGTAGTTTAAATTGCATAATCAGAAATAAAAGAATGATTAAAGCATAAATTAAAATCGCTTTCATTACTTGGAAATTCAACATTTTTTATTTTCGGAGTGTTGAATTTGCAATCTCAAACCACAAATATGCAGAAAAGTAGTAATCAAGATATACTTAATTTGTTTTATTTTTATCAATGTCAAATGACTGCAGAATGCGACGTTTAAAGCAAGTTAGTATGAGTTGCAACTGCGAAGTTATTCAAAAGTTTTTCAGCAATGAACTGGTTTCAAGCTATGTTCATTCTCGTGATTAGCCCATCGAGCGTCATCTGATTCGTGAGTTAAAAATCGCTGACCGATTTCTTTTTCCAAGCCTCGTAAATCTGACCAAAGCTGATAATTCTGAAACAAGTATCCGAGAGCCAGTTATTAGTAAAGAAAAAATAAATAAAAATTAAACCTATAACTTAGACTTAAAGATAAGTTTACAGAAAAAATTCCGAGAAAATTGAGAAAAATAAAAGTAAAAAACATATCATTCTAAAGCAACTAAATTGTGCAATAAAATGCTGTTAATTCTACCTGAAGCCAGTTATGACTTAAAGCTTTCAATACATTTAATCGTTTGTTCATCTGAACTTGCAGCAGACTGTTAATGAAATCAATTGCTACAGCAGTCACTTCACACCACGGATTCGAGGGATACATGAAATCCACATTTCGAATTTGATCACTGATATCTTCGTCTTCGTTAAATGGGAATGTGCCAGAAAGACTAGAAAATTTGCCACATTTTATGTCAGTTTTTGATTCTGAATGCTAAACTTAAATTTACAAAATACTTCAATTTGTCAGCTATAGAAACAAACAGACAGTTTACTACAAGCAAACATGTTTTAAAAATAATTGATTAAAAAAGTGTGGTGATCACTATCATCACTGAAACCTTTACTAAAAACCAAACACGAAATTAAAAATTTTTCAAAACGTTCGCTGCTGAAAAATACATGCAGTATGTATTTGAAGCTTTCAAACTTTGAAATACATACTGCCGCCTGTAATAGTTTTTGAGAAATGCAAGCAAAAAAAAGTTTAAGTGAAAAAAAAATCAAACCTAACATAGACGATAACGCCTACAGACCACATATCCAGCGACCGATTGAAGAATTTATTACATAGCACTTCCGGCGCTTAAAAATCAAATTTAACAACTATCAATATGAAAAATCAAAATTTTTTCCTGAATATTTCCTTTTTTAAATTCAAAAAGTCGTAGTTATGTTTTATCATCTAACTTAATATTACGATGCATATTCTCATACGATGCTAATTTATCAGTTTTATGAAGGCGTTTTTCGAGAGATCTCAAAAATTTTTATGGCTAAAAAATGTTCAAGATTAAGAAAAGTGAAAAATTTATCTAAAGTAGCAACAACCTAAATAAGCAGGCGTACCCACAAGAGATCTCCTAAATCCTCGTTCTCCAATTATGCGAGCAAATCCAAAATCACAAAGTTTCACCTAAAACTCAAGCCTACAGTCGTCAATTTGAAACAAATTTTATTCAAACAAGTCTAAAATATTACTCCTGAAGAGATCAGAAGGGTGGAATAAGCAACTCTCTGAACAATAATTACCTGAGGAAAATCTGAATCCGAAGTTAGTAAAATATTTTCTGGCTTCAAATCGCAGTGCACTATATTCAAATTATGAAGATAACGTAAAGCAACAAGTATCTGTAGTAGAGTCTCATTATCACTGGCGATAATATGAAAGTTTTATGCACTTTTTGCAAGCGAAATTGAAATTAAGAAAATTAAGTGTAAAGTAAAATACGATTAGCCGTAGTATTAATTTGACATCAAGATTTTATACTGCTTTTTATTATTCCAGTCAAAATTAACGCTGAATGAACTTTAAATTCAAAGAGAAAACATTAAGCATAAAATGTTTGTTGGTTATAAGCAATGAGAAAACCATTAAGCTGTCAAATTCTGAAAATCACGAATATTTAGTTCAATTAAATATATTATTAGCGCAACTACGTTTTCTGAGATCACTGCAAGTAGAGTATTCAGATTACATGCAAAAATCATTATAAAAATAATGATACGAATTTTTGAAAGGCACTATGTATAATATCTATGGAAGTTTAAAAACAAGTAGTGAAGCTTGACAAGAAAAATAATACTTGGTAAACAAGGAAACTCGAAATACGCTCAGATAATCTTCCCTTTTCGCTGGACAAAATCATATCCAGCATGTCACTCTTGAGTTTTTCCATCACAACAAATATCCGATCCGTGGTTTCTATCATTTCTTGGAAAGCCACCACACCTGGGTGTTCCACTTTCTGCAGTTGCAAGATTAAACTATTTGCTATCCTAATAACAAGAGAAAAACATTTCAATTTTACTTTCAAAATATCCACTTCCGTTCGAAGCGCCTCTTCTTTGCTGCTTGAAAACTTCAATTTATTGATTAATTTAATCGCGACTTGTTTTCCTGTTTTGCGATGAATTCCTAAATCTTTAATATAAAAGTTGCAAACTCTTAACTTTTTACAAAAAATTGAATAACTCTGTTACTTTAATCATCATATTTTCCTTCCCCTGAACCCCACAACTTTCAAAACTCTTCCAATTTTTAAAATATCACACTGTCCCATGCACTGCTTTTGGAAGCAAGAATACTGTTATTTAACTTTATTACTTCCAACGAAAACTTTTATATCTCTCTGCTAGTTTGATGAAAAAAAGAGAGCTTGGCAAATCATTTTAAACTGTCTTTTCAAACATGAATTAGTTCAGCTGATCTGCTCATTGGGTTATTAATTTTCACACTTTAAGACGTGTGATAAGTGATAAGTGGCAGAAGCTATGAAAAGAGTTAGGAACACGCCTCCATACACAACTCCGAATTGTCCAGAACCAAGAATTTCATGAATAAAAATTTGATAAACTTGTGAGAAGTCTTCTTCACTCCACAGTTGTGATCCCAGCCGACCTTTTCCATCTTTAAAAAATTCAAATTAGACAAAGATAATACTAAATAGATATTAATTAACCTTCAACTATTTGTATAATAATGCAAGCATGAAAAAATAGCTGAGTAACTTTAAATTTTACTGAGTAATGGAACTTGAAAAATTTACTTGACGAATTGAGCACATCTAATTTTTTTAAACATTCCGACTGCTGAGGTATCTGACCGTTGTTTTCTGTACTAAGAGGTGTGCGTGCACTGATAGCGCTCGTCTGGGGTATTACAGGCATTAGGGCCTGCTTTATCGCGGAGGCCCAACCAGTGAGCAAATCGGCTCTTCCAGCAAAACTAACCGATGCATCGCCACCAGCTAAATATGTAATTTAAAATGAGCACTTCTTGTCCGAGCGCTAACTGCCCCAACTCTTGAAAAGGAAATTGTCACTTGAATTTGATCTCACTCAAAATCCATACTTTGCCCCTTTTTTTATAATTACACAGACGAGTATTTTATAAAATATATCTATCTCTATAATAACTTTCCTAACTTTCCGAAATATTTTGTTATTAAGCAATAATGAACATTAAGAGACAACAAACGCTGTATTTGCTAAGATTCTATTTATATTTTCAATAGTTCTTATTCGATAGCTTTGATTTATCAGTACCAAATCACACACAAAATAAACCCTTAAAAAACAGAACAAACTTTGTTATTCGTGGTTAAAATTTGAGTTGAAGGTGATTTTCAGCTTGAGTCAGATAATGGCTTAAAAACTAAATAAATATCATCAAATAATAAGTATTACCAATTGAATATATTCAAATTTGCCTCCTTTCAAGAAATCATACAATCTTGGTTCTAAATTCAATAAACTTAATAAAATAAGTAAAAAGTTTACTTTTTAGGTGAATTGAGCATCTTAATCATTATTAATAAATAACTGCAAAAATGTGCAGAAACATTTGTCTCTTGATCATCTTTCCAAGCCTAATAACCTATTATTTGCAATGAATCAGAATTATTTTGACTACTCCACACATCTGCATGGATTTAGACTCCAAAAATACTGAAAGTAGCTTAAAAATACGAGTCTGACTACACTATAGTATAATGTCAGATCTAAAAACAAAGATCTTATCAAAACAAACTTTTAATTTAAACAATAAATACATATTATGCTTTTAGTTGCACAGTTAGATTGAAATCTTGACGAAGTTTATCACATATTATTATAATTCTCGGCAACCTCTCTTGCAAACTTTACAGAAATGATTTTTCAGATAGTTTTTTTCCATGGATTAAGAACACCAAATTTTCAAAATAAACTGCGTTGTATGTG